AAATATAATAAATGTAAATATAACAGGGCACATCAGCCTAACAAGTTAATTATTATTAGCTCATTCATTAATAACTAATAAGAAATATTATATTATCATTTATTATTAACTATTATTATGTTTCATGAGAAAATTACTAACTTGTTACCACTTGTTCCTTAGATATTATATATTTTATAACATCTAATATAATTATAACATCTATCCCATTGCAATTCTATGACTTCATATTATGGTGATTTTATTATTATTAGTACACACACACACACACACACAGAGTATATTTGTTGACACTTTATTTATATCAGTAATTGCATGACTTCTGATGCCATATGCTAAATAAATAAATAAAACCTGAACATTTATAAGCAAAGATGAGGAAGCACCTTCAATTCTGATTGTTTAGAACAGGGGTGTCAAACTTGCATCATCATGTGATGTATCATGACTTTCCCCCCCTTCGCTACACTGGGTGTGGGCATGGCCAGCTTATGATGCATCTGGGCTGCAGCCTGCGAGTTTGACATCCCTGTTGTAGAACTAAGACTAAGTTCTCTTTAGATTAACTTTCAATATGTTTGTCTTTGTTGAATCCATCACTCATCCTAGATTCGGATTCAACTCTCTTGTATTAAGGTTTCTGATGGCTTGCAAAATTAAATATAGTTTCAGATGAGTAATTCAGATGACTTGCCTGTCTTACTCAATGATAAACTGGACTAGAAAGAAAATAGCAGCATGTCAAATATAGTCATGAATGTTGCTCCTATGCTAGCAAGCACTGCAGTGGAAGGAAGCCAGACCTGTTAGGAGTCTGTATTCTGAATGTTCAACAGAGGACCTTCCAAATTAATCAAGAACTACAGCACAAAGCCCCAATACGTTTTATCCTTATAAGCTCCATCAAAAGGATCGTGATAGGCACAAATGGCAGAAGTAATACCACTCACCTTGTTTTGCATCTTCTGTACTAGCTGAGCCTGATGCTGTTGCCCATCCTGGAAGGCTTGCATCTTACGCTTATGTGCTTTTTCATCCGATTTAAACTGCTGTCTCATCTGCAGGAACGCTGTACTTCCTTCCTCCTCTGCTTGTTGTGCTTGCTGCAGCTACAGAAACAAATACCTGCTGTGATCCAATTGGCAGAACAAGGTTCCAGGTGCAAAATAGCAAAAAAGGGGTTGGTTTCTGTCAGGATCCAGTTTCATGAGTCAAAAAAAAATGGTTTACCACTTTTCTGACAATAAATTACAGGTCTGTTTCCAGGAGGACTTTCAAAAATTTTGCTAAAATAAATTTTCTTTGGAAAGTATCATATTCAAACACTCCATATGTCCAGGTGCAGTTGCATAGTTAGAAGCAACAGCATATAAAAATGGAACTAACATCTCATTTACCCTTGCATGTCTAGGAGGCTGTCAATGGAATATATTTGCAACTATTGACTCTCTACATTTACACTGCAGAATGTGAGACTCAGTTGTTCCCGTCAAAGGGTTATTATTACAGTAGAATGCTAGATGGCTATTTTGCCATTCTAGTATGTGGATGATACAACAGTGATGGGCCTCATTTGGGATGACAATGATGAGGCAAAGGGTTTGGTGAAAAAACAGCTTGGCTCTAAAAGATGGAAAAACAAAAAAGATCATTGTCGATTTCAGGAAAGGCAGGCATAGGCATACACCTCTGTATGTTAATGATTCAACTATGGAGGTAGTTACTGTATATACTCGAGTATAAGCCTAGTTTTTCAGCCCACTTTTTGGGCTGAAAAAAGCCGCCTCGGCTTATACTCGAGTAT